GAGGGAGGCAGCTGAGCTGCCATGGGGGAACAGGGTTGCAGCAGGCTCCAGCACCCTCGCCACTTGGGGCAGCAAGCAAGGGTGGTGAAGGCACTGAGCTGTGGACCCAGAGCAGCTCTGCTCTGCCACCGCTTGCCCTGCATGACCTTGGAGGTGTCACTCAACGTCCCTACCCCTCGCACTTTCCCCCACCGTCTGCTGCCCGCAGCGCTTCAAGGCACAGACAGCCTCTGAGCATGTCCAGAGCCCAGTCTCCCCACAGCGATACCAACACGAAGCCTCCTGGCAGTGCGGCCGCAGCACGGGGTGACATAAAGCAGCTGGGGGGATTTGCAAAAATCAAGGGGGGCCACTGGGCAGGAGCAGAAAAGGCAAGGAGAGGAAAGCACCAGGGGCCAACATAGAGCTCCCATGCCTCAGTTTTCCCCTCTGTGAAGTGGGGCTGCTGCTGCCGACTTGGACATGGACCGCAATCCCAGCGCAGCAGGTGCTACGTGAATATCCGCGCTGGCTGCAAAGAGGTGGGAGAGACTTGGCTTTTCCTAGGCGGGGCCTGATGCAGCGGTGCACGCACCCGAGAGCTCGGCCGCACACGCGCTTCCCTGCTTCAACTGGGGGAAAGATCGCAGGAAGGAAGAGAGCAGGCCTCTGCCCCAGGTGCTTCCTTCCTGCCACATATCCTGGCCTGCCTAGACCCAGCCGGAGCATCATGCTCTCGAGAGCCTTGGTACGGGCCCGTCTGCCCGGGATCCCCACGCACGCACGAGCCCGAGCATCAAAGCAAAACAGACCAGGGTCAGCCCTCGCTGCCGAGCTGCCCGAGCCCCTCCTGCCCGGCTGTGGCTCTATCCCAGCCTCCCTGGGAAGGAATAAACAGACAGAGCAGGGAGGTCGTGGGAGAGACGCCAGGGAAGGGAGGACCATCCATCACTGGAGGGTTCGAGAGGCACTGGGGGCATGATCTGGGTGCAGCAATGCCTGTGCTCTGCTGTGGGGCTGTCCCAGGCATCTGGGCTGTGCTGGTTGTCCCCTTCTCCCCTTCCTGTGTCAGAGGGTTTAAGCCTCCCCCAGAGGTGCTGGTGCTGCTGTTCCCCAGGCTGGGGATGGGGCTGGGCTGTGCCAATGCTCCTGCTGCACCCACCCCACAGGGTCCTGGCTGGAGGGTCTTGCCCCCACGCTCAGGCTTAGACCGACACTGCACCGGGGGTAGGAAGGGATTTCCCCCTTGCTCAGACTTGTCTGGCCTGGTGAGTTTTGCATTCGTCGGCAGCGGGAGCGCAGCCTCGGCCTGGAGTGTCTGCAGCGTCCATGACCCCCCTGGCAGCAGCAGGACATTGGTGGCCGCGGCCCCCCCCCATATCCCAGGGGCAGGGGCGATGCCTGGAGCTTTGTCTGGGATGGTTTAGGTACCCACTCCTCCATGGGGGTGCACAACTGACCCCAGGCTCTGCTGCCAGCTTGTATAACACTGGGCAAGTCCCGTCCACCCTAGCGTCCTTCCAAACCCCCAGTGTCTCCAGACCGCGAGCTGAATCGGGCACAGAAGGTCTCCCAGCAGGCGCTGGGACAACACCCAGCACAACAGGCGTTCGATTCTGGCTGCAGCCTCAAAGCACAATAACTGTGCACCCCACCACCGCCATGCCCAATTCTGAGATGAACCAGCAAACTGAAAAGGACCTGGGGGGATGGGGGACAAGACGCTGAACAGGGGCCAGCAGTGTGCCCTTGGTGCCAGGAAGGCTACCGGCAGCCTGGGTGCATTGGCAGGGGGATTGCCAGCAGATGGAGGGCAGTGATTTTTCCCCTCTATTCAGCACTGGGGAGACCACATCTGGAGTCCTGTGTCCAGCTGTGGGCCCCACTACAGAAAGGTGCCTGTCTTGAAGCACCCTGGAGCTTCTTGAGCAAGTCGGGAAGGGCTGGACAACGGCACCACATAAATCAGCTGCCTGTCCTCCCGGGACTGCTGCACTCGGTCCTTATCTCCCAGAGCAGGGATCGGTGGGGGACCATGAGGCTCAGGGAGATTTCAATCAAAAAAAGAAACCGAGATCAGGATTTGCAGAAGACAAATAGGGGGGAGCTACAATACAGCAATACACTGGACAGCTTTACCCACAGCCCCTTTCCCCCCTGCACACCTCCGCCTGCACCCACTCCAAGTCCTGAGTCTTGCAGTGGCTGTAACGGGGTGGCCAGGTCCTCTGGGCTTTGCTGGTTGCTGCATGGGGTCAGGACAGGGTCCCTTTTCCACCCCCAACCACCCTTTCTGCCCCATGTGTCAGGGGGGGTTTAATCCTCCCCTAGAGGTGCTGGTGTGGCTGCAGCCCAGGCTGGGGATGGGGCTGGGCTGTGCCCATGCTCCTGCCGGCACCAACCCCGCAGGGCCCTGGCTGGCCCCTGCACTCATGCTCAGACCAACATTGCACTGGGGGTAGGAAGGGATTTCCCTCTGCTCAGACTGGTCCAGACTGGGGGTGGGGGTTGCCTTCCTCTGCAGCGGGGGCAGCAGGACGTTGGCGACCATGGCCCCATGTATCCCACGGGCGGGGGCAATGCCTGGAGCTGTGTTGGGGGCGACTGTTGTCTTGGACACGGGGTTTGTCTGGGCTGCCTCGGGCAAGGCCTGGACTGGACGTGACCCCGCAGCTCCCTGCCAGCCCCTGGGATTTTTTGCCTCTGCATTTGTCCAGCCTGCAGATCCAGCCAGGAAGGGGCAAGAGCTCCCTGCCAAGGACTGCATGTGGAGCCTGGCTCCTGCAGCCACCCCTCTGCAGCAGGGCACCGAGGGTCCGTTACAAAGGCACGCAGGAAGGAGTCACTTTCAGGGCCTCGATAATAACACGCAAGTCGGTGGAGATGCCTAGATGGACGCGGAGCTGGGGTCTGCAAGTCAGCAGCTATATCCCCAATCTGAGCCAGGCACGGGCATCCAGGAGACCAAACAGGGTCTGCACCTCCCCGCTTTGCTTTCATTCATTTCCTGACTACGGACAAATCCTAGAGCAGTTCTTCTGTTGGAGGAAACTTAGCAAGGCCTGAGCCAGGCAGGATGATTTGATTCCTACTGGAAATCTCTGGGTGAATCAAACATGGGTCTCTGCACAGCTCACAGTGTGCGGCACCCCGAAAGCATCCCGCACCCCTCACCGCTCCAGTGGCAAGAGCTCTCGCAGGCACCTGAATGGACTTGCAGGTGGCAAGGGTTTAACATCGTCTTAGCATGGGGATATGAAGCTCACCCAAGCCGCAGGCGGGTCTGGCTGGTCTCTGCCTGTCCTTTCACCCTCGGGGACTACTCTACGCCTCTGTGGGCAGAGCCCTGGTGATTCTGGGGGCAGAAAAACAGAGTGTGGGGTTGAACGGGGAATCGGCAGAGCTGCAAGGCCCGTGGTCAGTGGAGACGGTAGCTTCAGCCACTACTGCTTGTATCCAAAAGCCAACGCCTGAGCAAAGAGGCCAGGCAGTGCATGCTGTGGGTTTCTGGCAGAGAGAGACCATCCCAGGATGCGATGTTTCATGGGATACAGGATGGAGACTTGCAGACTGGGAATGGAGACTCCCACAACCCCGTGACCCCAATACACTATGCTGGCTTGGGGGAAGACGCTCGCAGCAACTGGGTTTTAATCAGGGCAGATTTTGCAAAGCTCCCAGCCACTTTGCACTCCAGCCTCAGCTCCCTCGAAGGTCGCAGACGGGACAGGAGAACGAATGCAGCAAGCGCCAGGCCCCGGCTTTGCAAAGGCAGCTGCTGCACCAAGCTGGGTGTTATCAGCACAGCAGAAAGGGAAGCGGAGGCACTGCCCAGCCTACTAATAACCCTCTTCCCCGTGAGACAGCAAACCACGTTGCAAAGCTCCCGGCCACTTTGCACTCCAGCCTCAGCTCCCTCGGAGGTCGCAGAGCGGGACAGGAGAACGAATGCAGCAAGCGCCAGGCCCCGGCTTTGCAAAGGCAGCTGCTGCACCAAGCTGGGTGTTATCAGCACAGCAGAAAGGGAAGCGGAGGCACTGCCCAGCCTACTAATAACCCTCTTCCCCGTGAGACAGCAAACCACGTTGCAGTCTGACGGCGCTGGCAGAGACGGGGCTCTGCTCTGCCGCAGAAACGCGCGCCCGAAGGGAAACCGCCCTGCCTGGGACCTGAGCGGGGCTGAGCATCAGAGAGGCTTGATGTTTTGTTGCTTTGGTAAAGAGAGCGCATGACATGCCAGGGGCTCCTAGTGCCCCTACCCACCCCTTCCTGCAAACCACAGGCTGCACGGGCACCCATTTCCCTTGCCCTCCTCATGCCAGGGGCCCTATTTTCCTCCCTGAACATGCTTCAACATGCCACCATCACGCGGGCTCTGCATACACCCGCCACATGCCACGGTGCCCTATGTCAAGGCACCCATCAATTCTCCCACGGCTCTCCATC